ATTGTGCAACTTCTCAAAACGACATTTATTTTGAATAGGAGGGAGTATTTTTTTTTGTATTGACATTTATATTTATGAATAAAAAGTTCAGATTTAGTGGTTAGAATTAAATTGTAATTAAATATTAAGAAAAATAATTATAATGATACGCTTAAAATTACATTATGGTTATTTAAATATTTATATTATGATATTTACATTCAACGTTTGTAAGAAATAATTTTAGATATTATTTTGAGTTCATTCAAATATTATGATAATTTTTTAATTAACCATCCAGTTTTATTATATACTTACACAACATGCAACGCAATTTACATTACGTAGTATATTAAAGACCAAAACTCAACGCATTACGCGTTTTAAAACATTGTTTGTACCACATTGTACACTGAGAAATTTCTGTAAGCTTTCTTGAAAATGGGAATGCAAAAAACAAAAACTTTGGTGGGTCAAATTCAAAGGCTGTGATTATGTTTCAAAAGCACGAGTTTTGATGCATTCAAAAAAAATTAAATTGTTTTTTTAAGCATTCATTTTTTTTATTTTTTAATTTTTTTGTTCCCTTTGGACTGGAAAAATATTTGGGCAGTGGGCTTTTTTTGTCTGTACATCAGCCCAAGCAGTCACCAAATTTGGTGAGGAAATTAAACAGGGAGGAAGGAGGCAGTCAAAGAAGGAAAATTCCTATGGGAGGTGCTTCTATGAAGGATCATACATGACTAGCAATAACAAGTCCTAAATAAAAAAAAAAAATGAAAATATGCAATGATTGATTTTTTATTTTATTTTTTTTTTTGCAATAAATATGTAAATTGTGTTGTAAATATACTAAAGTCTTGGATTACGATGATAAAATTAAATAAAATAACTAAATTCATTTCAATTCAAGGATACTGAGTATTTACTTCAGTTTAAAATAGACTTTAAGGGTGAATTGAATCACTTTTTTGTATTGTTACATCACCACGACGAGTCCTCTTCCACATAAGTATAAAATAATATTTCAATAATAATAATAATAATAATAATAATAATAATAATAATAATAATAATATAGTATTTTTCTAGCTAATTAATTGACCATGATGCCTCAATATTACAAAAAATACATTAACCAATGATATTGATTCAGTTATAGTAAAATAGTTTATATTATATTGTTCATTTACTCATGATCCACTTTGTAAAATGTGATATGTCTATTACTAATTTATAATTTATAATATTATATATATATTATAACGTTTTATTTATATTTGTTCATGTGCACAGACATACTATTAATTAACAATAATATGGGGACCATGGTTGGTTTTTTATGTTTTGAGTAACTAAAATCTAATTAGTTGATAGGTTTTGTTCATATATTTTTGAGCTAATAGTTAATAGTTTATAACTGATAATTGAATAGCCTAACCGATATCACAAAAATATTTGGTAAGTTAGCTAATAAGCCAAATAAGGAAAAACTCTGATAGTTTTTCTAAAAAAAAATATAAAGAAAAAATTGAAATAAATTCCAATTTTATTTTGAAAAAGCAAATTCTATTAAATTAAATTATTTCAAAATAAAATATTTATAAACTAATCAAATAATCCATAATTTAGCTAACTTTTAATGAAATAATAATAATTTTTTTTTTCTCCATGAGATGGAATTGATTTACATTTTCCCTGTCTGGCTCCCAAATATTACGAAATTATAATAATAATAATATTATTAATAATAATAATATTAATAATAATAATAATAATATTAATAATAATAATAATAATATAGAGAAGCCCAGCGGAGAGCCTGCCATGGTCAATTTTGCCAGGATTACAGCTCATTAGTCAGTTTTTTTTTTTTTTT